TTTTGTATTTTAAATACGTAATGGCGGTACATGTACTCCGTTACTCCCCAACACTGGCTAAATCACATTTTAACCCAAACTTACACTACACTTGCATAGACTCATGTTTATGTATCAGCAGTAACAGCAAGCATGAGACGAAGAAAAGAAATGTTTAGTTAATAACTTAATAATATCAAGCTACAGTTTTATAAACTCCCCAGTCTTACCCCTGTTGGTCTTGACCACTGTTTTGTCCAGTTTGGTGATCATGTCCTCGTTCACACCAGAGAGCTGAAACACACAGTCGTACCTCTGCCAATCTTCAGGTGTGACTGATGAAACATTCAGATCAATACTCATCTGGAAGGTCCCATCATTGTTGAGGAGGATCTCTCCCAGATCCACACCTTCATGAAGCTGCACTCCGTCTTTCCTCCAGAACATCACAGCTCTGTCAGGATAGAAACCTGTAGCGTGGCAACTGACTGGAGAGGAGGGAGTCTTTTGGAGTAGAGACACTGAGGGAAGGACTGTAAAGAGATTGGCAGTTGGTTACGTTCGTCCTTTAATTTTATTTTGCTCTAATTTTGAAGCAAGAAACCCATATGAAATTTCTATTCTATTACATTTCATCAGATTGTGTAATTCTACCTGCTGTCTGCAGAAACCTCTTCCCATATCGCAAATACTCCTTTAAAAAGTCAGGGCACTGATAAACTAAAAAGTTTTTATTTGATTCAAATTGATGTTCATGAGCATCAAATCTCATTTTGGTGAGGACAGCGTGTGGTTTAGGAGCGATCCATGTCAGTGTCTGCAGGTCATATGCTAGAAAATCTTCTCTATCATAACCATACTGATCATATCCAGTCTCATCGTCCCATTCACAGCCCTTCATCCTTTGCAAAATATGAACACCTGAAAAGACAGACAGTAACTGTAACTGTGATAAACCAGTAAGATGTTAGCACAGCTTATACCTGAAACTGCACTTCTACCACAAATAAGCAATTCAAATGCAAAAAACATTTTTTAAAATAAAAATTAAAAAATGATTTAAAGAAAATCGTTTCAGCAATAAAAAGTTCAACAAATCCGTACCTTCAGTTTGGTTCAAACGTTGCCTCAAAGTCTCAATTGTAGCCTTAAAGAAGTGATGACTTTCATTAGATTGTAAACTATACCACTCCAGGTGCTGTGGATGATCCTCAAAGAATTTAATCCAGTCTTTCTTTGGTGTTGCTTCTCTTACACTGTTGGAGTCACCTATCTGAACGTCATCAACAATTGCAACAGCTACAAACTCTGGGATGCTCTGAGCTCCTGGGCTTTCAGTGAAGAAATATTTCAAGGAGTGTTTTACTGTAAAATTAGGAAGACTTTGAATTAGGAGGGATCCCTTTTATATGCTTTTTTGTATCATTTAAGGAGGTTAAATATGAACTAGAATCAGTTTCAGATTTAGCATTGACTTCAAAAGTATAAGGGTGAAAAGACACTGAGAACCTACTGAATGATGAAATAATCTTAGTGTTGTGTACAATTTAATTTTTGCTAATATCTCTTCTGTAACTCTTTATTCCTACTACTCCAAAATTACATTACCTGCACATACAGAAAATCATGCCACATTCTAAAATCCAAATCTAAAGAAAAAGTACATTCACTGACAGTATTAATATGTCTCCCACATAGACTGTGACATTTCAGGGGTGCACATCTTCCTTTCACCACCAGTCACCTTAAGAATAGAACAGAATGCCTTTATTGTTATTGCACTAACATACAGCTTCTGTCATAATGAAACTCCAGTCAGTGGTGCAGAAGACAGTGAAAGATAAAAAGACCAAGTTTCTTGCAATTCAATTTCCTATAAACTAGGAAAAATATTTTTTAAAGTAAAACTTGAAATATGATCTTACCTGGAGATGCAACATGGCAGCAGAGGAGTAATATGAGCACACTATTTTCACATTCACTAACACAAGAAACACAACAGACAAAACACAACTGGGAGTGGTAACGTGACTTATCCAAAGTCCATGTTCTGTTAGGCTGGGCCAAAGTTATCTGAGTCAAAAAAAATTAATCATTAAACAGACTGCGTGCCTCCTACAGTCTCCTGCAGAAATAATTTAATTTCTATGTCTTATTTGTAATTATAGGATCAAACCATGGGTGATACTCAACCTGGACTGAAATTACTCTTTTTAAATTAAGGTACTTTAGATGGCCTTCTTAATTATTGAAAGCTGAGAGTCAAATATGCATTTTTGTTGAAATGGTTGCCAGCGGTCTAAAATGAAAACAGCCAGTGTACACATGTGTAAAACCTTTTAATGCCGATGTGAATTTAAAGGATGCAAACACATGCATAACATTTTTTGTCTTTAAATTTGTAATTTAAAAGTCACATTGAGCTAGTCAAGCTCATAATGCTCTCGATGGTGGAGCAGTAGAAGTTAGCAGTCTCTGGTGTAACTGGGCCTGACGCAGCTTCATGAGAAAGTACAGCCTATGTTGTGCTTTCCCTACCTGGTGGGAAATGTTTGTGGACCAGGTAAGGTCAGTCAAGATATGGACCCCGAGGAACTTGAAGCTATCTACCCTTTCTACTTCCTCTCCATTGATGTAGAGGGTGGAGTACTCTTGAAGTCGATTACCATCTCCTTGGTCTTGGCTGTGTTCAGATGCAGGTTGTTGTTGTCACACCATCACTTCAGATGCTGAACCTCCTCCCTGTAGGCTGAATCATTGTAGTTGTCAATCAGTCCTATAATGGTGGTGTTGTCAGCAAATTTTATAATGTTGTTACTGGTGTGAATTGGAGAGCAGTCATGGGTGAAAAGTGAGTATAAGAGGGTACTGAGGATATACCTGTGTGGGATGCCTACATTCAGAATGAGGGTGGAGGAGGTGTGCTCTCCCCAAAACTGAAGAAGCTTCTCGGATGAGAGTCCGAAAATGTCACAGCCGAGGCCACCTCAAAAGGGAAAGGACTCAAATGCTGGGCGCTAAACAGTACGTAAGTAGTTTCAGTGACAACATTTATTTTCTCAGTAAGTGTTCACAATCAGGAAACTGGAATGTGAGTTTAACAAGTGCTAAATGCCACAATAACCCAAAGGGGTTTTGATCAGCCTTGGCTAAGTAAGCAATCTGGTCGTTGGTCAGTGGAAACAGCTGTTCCGGGGATTGGGCTGGAGGGAGAGTCAAACTGGGTCCGGGGCAAGGGTCAGAGTCACTGTAAATAGAGTACAGACGTTCAGGTATGGTTCGGGAGAGATAGGAAGTTCTGAATCTTCCTTAGTACTGCGTACTTGACGTGGGTGGTCTGTAGTGGCATGAAGGGGTGAGTGGTCCGGGTGAGTGGTCCGAAATTCCTGGCGTTGAGGCAGGGAGGCAGGCAGGTGAGTCGGGTGAACAGTCCGTGGGACTGTCAGGAGGTCCAGCGTCCGGATTGGAACTCTTCGGCGGAGATTTGTGTCTGGCAACTTGGTGCGTAGCTATGAAAGAAAACACATGATGAGACAAGGTAGTTTTCAAGGAGTGTGCGAAATCACAGTGGTGGCCTGCACTAACTAGGGTTGGCTGAGAATCTGGCGAAGAGAGGTTGAGGTTGCCTTATGAGTCCCCGGCTTCATTACCCACAGGTGCGAGCAATCAGCAGAACACAGAGCCCCCTCCCAGGGGTGGAGATGCCGGCTCGGAGGGAGACACACTAGCACACACCCGGACCATGACAGAGAAGCTTCTTCAGTTCAGTTCAGTTCAGTTCAGTTCAGTTCAGAGGGGAAACGTCTTCAAGCAACTTAAAGCAGTCCAGACGTTTTTCCTTCCAAGCTCCTTAGACTGCGATGACCTGGATGACTGAGAACCTTCACAGACAAAGTCTCCCATCCTGACATTCTGGGGTCTATCGGACACTTTTTTTTTCCCATGGCTATGATTTCTATGTAACATTCATACACATTTAGTTGGCCATCTGGTCAGGGTCTGGAATGCTGGGCCTCCCTGCTGATGCAGGACCAGGGGCGGTCTGCTTGTCTCCATCCCAGGGCAAAGGGCAACATCTCTTGGGTATGAGGGTGGATTGCTCCTCTGAGGGTGAGGGTACCTGGACCTGGGTGTATAGAGTATGTTTGGGGACTACGAATGGGTGTACAGTGTTCATTTCTGTTTGTCTCCATGTTGGGCGAGTGCTGAGTATTTGTATATGTGTGCATGAAGGCAGGAATGCATGTTTGTCGTGTGTCAGGTGGGGTCTTAGACTCCACCTCTTTGGGAACATCTCAGGCCCTCCTGTGTGAAGCTCCTGCTGTGCACTGAGTTCCTGACTGTGGTCTGGGAAAGAGTACTGTAACTTTTTGTTTGCAAAATACAGTATATAATGACGAATTTTGTGCAAATTACTTTGAAGTATTAAGTCTGTGAAGGTTCTCAGTCATCCAGGTCATCGTAGTCAAAGGAGCTTGCAACGAAAAGCGTCTGGACTTCAAGTAACTTAAAGAAGTCCAGACACTTTTTGTTGCAAGCTCCTTTGACTTTGAAGTATTAACTAAAAAAAGTTACTAGTTACTTCTTCAAAAAAGTAACTGACTTTTCCAAACAACAAAATTATATGCAGCTATTTATCTGAAATGCAGCCAAGATGGATTTTTTTTAAAATAAACATTTCAAACCATTTACAGACCAATCAGGTGTTCTGCATCAAATAAGATGCCACACAAATTATTTGTGTCACTCCAAAAGATAATTTCAGCCCACTATAAGATAAGGGGGGACATTACAAGCCTGATCCTGCAGGCCTGAACGGTGTAACAGCTGTGACATTCAGCAGTAGCCTCAGTGTTCTGACATATTAAAGAAAAACTATCGACTACACTATACAACACACTAACTACACACTCCAAACACGCTAAATGTCACAACTCTCTCACATCTCAAAACTCGCTCTCTCTTGCTACGTCGCTTCAAAACATTCATTTTTAGGCTATTTTTCCTCAGCAAATCAGCAAACTTAAGAAATATAATTAATAAAAATAATAAAATGAACAAAAATCTTCTTTGGTCCTAACATGTTTCAGTAGTGTGCTGTGTTTGTCTGTGCAGTCTCTGGATTCAGTCTCTCAGAGATCAAGATCTCAAGTTCAAAGGTGTTGCCCGGAGCTGTAAGTTTCAAAACACACTGTTAGTCCTGATATTTTTGAACTGGCTTTTACATACAGTGTCACTGAAACCAAGAGCAACAAAGAAAACTACTTACATGGTTCAGTATCGCTTTCTGTAATAAAGAGAAAAAACAAATATTTCAGAATACATGATAAGTTCAGATAAGTTCACTTTTACACTCTGTACTAGACCATCAGCAGACCATGACCATCAACTCATTTGAATCACTCACTTTTCTTCTTTTTGTAATCAGCAAATCCAACAGCAGCACCGAGGATGAGAACAAGAACAACCACTGCAGCAATGATGGGGATCATCATGCTAGAAGCATTTTCTGCACAGTAAAACAGAGATGTGCAGGGGAACAGGTTAAAACCAAAGTCCATCCATCCATACATCTCCCCAAATGTGAGGCCAAAAATAAATAACCAACTTTTATTAACAGCTGTAACACTTTACATATTTGGAACCAAAGATACACAAGTATTACTATATACACGCATTTAAAAAATAAATTTTTAGGATCCCCATTAGTAATTCCCACAGTAGCAGCTTTTCTTCTTGAGGTCCAAAACAAAACCAGAAAAAAAAATTAAATATTACATTTTAGACAATCAACAGCATCAGCAAACAAAATGATTTAAATGTTTTTCCTTTCACCTTTCCTAATGTTTTCCTCTGTGTTGGTTCTGATCACTGCTTCATTCAGTTTCATGACAATATCCTCAACACCACAGAGCTGAAACACGCACTTATATTTTCTCCAGTCTTCAGGGGTGATTGATGAAACATTCAGATCAACACTCATCTGGAAGGTCTCATCATTGTTGGGGAGGATCTCTCCCAGAGCCACACCTTCATGCAGCTCCTCTCCATCTTTCCTCCACATCATCTCGGCTCTGCCAGGATAGAAACCTGTAGCGTGACAGCTGACTGGAGAGGAGGGAGTCTTCTGGAGGAGAAACACTGATGGAAGAACTGGAGAGGGAAGATAGGAATGAGAGTGAGGCAATGGTGATAGAGGGTAAGATTTCACAGTAGCATTCGAAAAGAACTATGGCTAAAACTCAAGGAAAGCTGTGAAAAAGCAAAAATTAATCTGTAATTCAATACAGACTGAGGCATTCAAGAAAAAAGAGTCACAAGCTTTATAGCAGCTGCATTGTAACAATCTTTAAGCTAAATTAAACCCCAAGCACACAGATATATGGTCACTAAGTACTCAAAAATTTTTAACACATGAGTTTACTTTAAAGCAAATCCAATCCATACCTTTCCACATCACTGTTTTTGTTCAGCAGTTTGAGCAAAAGAAAAAAGAGAATTACTAAAAACCATTAGAATATGCTAAATAAACCCTACTACTGTAGCCATGAAACTGTCATGTGATGTTTCTGGTTCCGTGTGGGAAGCTTTTCCCAGTGTTCAAGTACATCTTCAGATGCTCTGGTCAAATCTGAGTGAGGTCATTTTCTTTGTGTTTTATTGCGTTTCTATCAGCGTCCCATATCTTGTGGTGCAAGTAAAAAATAAATCACTTTAGTCCACAAAATAAATCATGTATATTTTTTTAGCTTCAGTTTCTGATTTGTGTTTGTAACTCAGTATTTTTTATAATTATTTTTTTTTGTTCTCTTCCCACTCTGTGGGTTCACATATGTCTAATCAATGTTCCCCATATGCTTTGTGTGCGTAAATAAAGAGCCAACAATAGCCAATAAACTTTTTGTGATTGTACCTTTTTTCTGTGAGAAACCTTTGTTATGGTCCACATACATCTTCAGATACGCTGGACAAATGTTTGTGAGGTCATTTTCTTTGTGTTTTATTCTGAGTCGATCAGTATCCCATTTCTGTTTGGTAATGACAGCCTCTGGTTTCAGTGCGATCCATGTCAGTGTCTTCAGATCAAAATCCATAAAGGCTTCTCCGTTATAACCATACAGTAACACACCAGTCACTTCTCCAGTGTTTTCATCCCATTCACAGCCTTCTATCATCTGTAAAATGTGCACAGCTGAAGGGACAAACATAAAATAAGATATTGCAGTGAATCTGCAAGATTTGTGTTGTGCTTATTGTTCAAGTCAAGTACTCTGTCAACCTTTTATTTAACCTAACCAGAATACTACAGTATGTTAAAGTAGGTCTAACTATTGAAGATTGCAAGAGAAGAAGCATAATCTAATTCAATAAAGGTGTCATCTGAAAGAGGTCATAATCAGAAAAACCTTTTTAAAACTTTTTAAAGGAAATTTTTAAATCTAACCTCATTTTAAAGCAGGAAGCACAAAATGTAGTTTTTTTTTTCATCAGTCAGTTTCTATGATTTATAATGATCTGAGATTAGAAATAACAGAAAATACTACACCATCACCTTGGTTGAACTGCTGCTTCAAGCTAAAAATCGTGTCTTTGAAAAGTTTTGGTTGATCCTCAAAACACTTCTTGTTGTACCAGTCCCGCTGCTGAGTGTTGTTTTCTAATAGTTTCTTCGCCCAGTCCTGCTGTGGTTGTAATGTCTTGCTGCTGCTGTCGCAGTAACCAGTCTGGATCCCATCAACCATTAGTACACCCACAAACTCTGGGATGTTTGGAACCCCAGAGGATCCAGTGACAAAGTACTTCAGTGAGTGTTTCACTGTGGGACAAGTATGAGTCAAGAAGTAAATAAAGCATGCAAACATTCTCAGAAATATTAAACATTCAGTCTTCTTTTAGCTGCTTTCTTTGTGTTTGTCACAGCAGGCTGATCTGCTTCCATCTCACTCTGCCCCTGCCATTCTTTGCTCTCAATGCTCTGCATGTACTAACTCCTCTGCATGTGTTGGTGTTCCTTTATTGCCATAATAATGTTGGTAATTGCAACTGACTTATCACGTTAGCTTGGTAATGTGGGGAAAACAGAAAAAACAACGGCTTTGTTTAGATAAAACTCTCTTCTGGGAAAAACGATAAGCATTTCATTTCAATCGTTTTATTTATTACTTTTTGCAATATAATATCTATATTATCAAGTTAGGTTTGCTGTTAGCCAAATTTACTTTGCTCATATTGGTTTGCTAGTGATAGTTTTCAACAACATTAGTTTCTACTACCTGAATAATCACACAACGTTACTGGGCAGTTGCAATGCTGATCCTGGACCAGCAGTCTTCTGATGATAGGAAGAAACCGACAGAGGAATATCAGATCGTGCAACTCCCAACTTCAGCTGTAACCTCCAGTCTCCCTCCTGTCTTCTCCAAACCATCAATCACAGCTGGTCTTACTATCTTACTCTCCATCTTGTAAACCTTTCCCTTTCACTCGTGCTGCCATTTTTCTGGCACAAATCACCGCTGACACTCAATCCGGTCAAGTGACTCCTCACATGACCGTGGTTGGCACTCGCCTTCACTCACTCTAGCCCGCCTTTCACTTCTTTTACGCAAATATGATCCAGTCCGTATAATTTCTTATTTAATTTACAGTGTGGTCAATACGAGAGGTTACAGGACTGTGTAGCGTTATTTTTATTTTCATAAAGAGCTACGATCTGGCTTATCTATATTGGATGTGTCTGTCACAGCACTGACTGAAAATGATGAAGAATGACCAACATCGATCTAAAATAAATGTGTGTAAACGAATTAAAACATTATCAATATTCAATATTTAAAAATGTCTTCAATAGGCTACATCAGACATGAAATGTACAATAATGAGAGTTGCAAAAGTTTCACAACAACGAAAT